TAGAGCCTGCTTCTTAACAGGTATTATCATTTTATGCACTAAAGATAATTTGAGCCATGGGAGATGACACCATTCAAGAGGAGCAGCGAGGCTGCGAAGATCAAAGCATTATGAACCTTGAAAAGAGCTGGGAGAAGCCTGCATGCTACAGTGCCTTGTAAAGGGTACAGGCAAAGTCCTCGAGCTGTATTCCAAGAGATGTTCAGAGAATATCAGCTCTGGAGCTGCTTCACACAAAAACATTGCATCTTTAGAGAAAGAATTGTTTGGGCAAGGCCTCATGAAAGCTGCATGCTGTCACTGTTCCTGTTTCTTGGGAACATAAACAGGATCTAGGGACAGCTTGTGCAAGAAAACAGTTGGAAAAGGGAATAGCATGGTTTTCAGCAGCCAACTTGATTACCATCATCACCCCTGCGTAGGAGGAAAGCTTCAAGAGGTATTTAGGAGAAAGCAGCCCACCTGGCTACAGCACTGCGCCCTGCTAAACCTCTCGGCAGGACTCCAGGTTAGGCCTTAAGTGCCGTTGTAAAGAGACTAACTCTTCAGCGGGTTGAGAAGCTCAGCTGCTAATGTGCTCTCACAGCTGGGCCTCTCAAGTGCTTCTTGCTTACTCTGTTAGCTGGAGGAGGGAATGAGAGGGGTGGACGGTGCTGGAAGGGATCCAGCAYGCTGAACAGGTACAGTTCCCTCTGGGCCAAGCTGTGCACAGTAGCTGTTTGTTAGTGACCATTAGGGGTGTCCATGTGTTAGGGCTTTGATTCATTTGAGTGTCTCGTAGCTTCCTGAAACCAGAATTTCAAGGATTTTCTGTGTTAGCCTGTGCCCAAAGGCAATATCTTTTTACTCAAATGAAAATAAGTCAAACGTGTTTTCTCAGTGAGAAATATATCATGGGCAGAAATATATCTTTTTCCTGGTTAAAATAGTTCTCTGCCTGAAACAGGCGTGGCTTGGAAGTTAAATTTTGTGGTGGAGACAGTACTCACTGAGAAGCTTCAATTCCAAAGGTGGATGCCCTAAGCATGCTGCAGTCTCTGTAGGCACCTGCCTTTCCAATGGACTAATCACAGGTGGAGATACCCCGATTTAGGAGGCTTCTTAAACACATGCAGTGCTTTATTGATAGTACATTATCCCACCCCAAGACAAATGTGTTGCGGTGCAAAGCAGACTCATCTATAGAGCAGAGACCCTTGTACTAGTGCTAGCTGAAGTACCTTCACCTTGAAGAGCAGAAGCAGGCTCGCTGTGTTTGCGCAATGCTACACCTCTGTTAATAAGTTTTGTTCCTTTGTATTAGCAATGAGCCCGGAGAGAGCACGGTGCTGAGGTGCCCACGCGGGCTCCGATTGCAGAGCTTGCTGTTAGCTGAGGAAGCCCCTCCATGCAGGGCAGACCTGCTTCTCGGGTCTRTGTGACACGGCTAGTCCGTAGCCCTGCTTATGTGTCCACACCTCAGACACCAGAAATGGCACGCCATACCCTAAATTCTAATCCCAGTTTGGATTCTGAAGTCGGAGGGAGGTCCCTCGGCTGTGCCCTGTGCCTGCTTGCAAGTTCCCTTCAAAGTAGGAGACTCGATCTCTTCCCTGCCCTCAGCCTGGCTTCCTCAAGAGGGCTTTCTTACTCTTRCTATACTGATTTTCTTACTTTTCTTTCTTACTCTTTCTATACTGATTATATAAATCAGTAMGGGTTGCCTGAGTGAGGACATTAGTGTTTTACTTTTTGTAAGTAGTTTTGTGAGGTTTTTTTTTATTTTTTTCATTTTTTGGCTGCTGCTTCATCACTGGTTTGCAGCTACAGAAGTGACAACAATGATACCAGCAAGTACTTTGGAAATGATCAAGTGACTGATGCTGTRAATGCTATGTAGAAAACTCTAAAGCAACCCCTAAGTGTTGTGCTAGGTTGTCCACTACCTTCCCTTCCTCCACCCCATAACGAACCAGCTGCGTATGATTCTTATTCAACTTCTCCAGTTGAGTTCAGGTATTCATGGAAAATCAAACCCTTCCAGATGGGGAACTTTCTTCTTGCTAACAGGCGACATTATTGTTGGAATATTTTTGGATAACAAATGAGTGTGTTTGTTTTATTTAATTTTTACATGGAATGAATATGATTCCCATAGAAGTGGGAGGCGAGAGCCCAGCAGAGTCCGGCGTTCCGCAGGTCATGGACTAGTGCTAAATAACCTTCAGTTGTTGGTCAGTAGCTCTGCCTAAATTTTATGGCCCTGCCTGAGTTTCATGGCAGGGAAGCATCATGAGAAAGAAAAGTGCAAGATGTTTACCTTTGGAAATTTATTTTTAAAACCTTTGCTCAGAACTAACGCTTGCTTTTCTGTTACACCCTGCTCGTGTACCTCACTCCTGACCTGCCAGACTCGGCGTGCTTGCAGTTCCTGCTCTTGGGCATCCCTCTGGAGCTGGGGCACCTTCCTAGCCCTTCCCAAGGGCAAGGGGACACCACACTGTAAGGCAGTGCCGTGTGCGGCCTCCCAGCACCAAATGACAAAAAGGGTCATTTGAGAAACGCTGGACCYGTTCCCCTGCCTTGTGCAGGGGCCGGCAGCTCCATGGACAACACTCGGTCCTGCAGTATGAGTTATGCCAGCCCTTGCAATTCCTTGTCCTTCCTTGCAGTTGGAAGGATGAGCCGAGAGCAGGAAAGATTTCAGGTTAGAAGTGCTAGCAARGAGCTGTCAAAATGAAAGGTTAGTGATGAGGAGGGCTTGGAGCCCGGGACGGGGGTGGCACCTCTCTCTGTGCTTTATAGGAGAGGGGAAAACACTTCCTCCTTCTCTACCAGAAAATGGTGCTTTGGACAAAATGCACTGTGAAGAAGTCCATCCACCAATTTATTCCTATTTAGGTCATCAGAATAGGGCTTCAGTGGAGCTGTCTGTATGCTGGCGCTCTATACAGGGATACATTTCACCCTCAGTGAATGCTCTTTGTTTTCTCAGTTGAGGTCAGTTTTTCATTGCATTCATTAAAAGAAACAGCTTTGGATTGCAAATACCACTGCCCCTCTCTGTCCCTGCCAGAAAGCCAGCCCTGCAGTCTTCAAGATATTAGAAAAAGAGGGAATTCAGAAGGGGAAGGAAAAGGACGATATGGAAGTTCAGACACTGAAACTGTTTGTACTCATCCATTGCCTCTTTCTGGTAGATTTAGGATCCTCCCCGCCCAGGATTTCTCCTCTGTTCCTCTCTATATCTTAGTAGGTGCCAATCAAGAGAACGAAAGATAGTTACTCGAGCTGAAGTCAGGATAAAACCTGAGGAAAGACATTCCTCAAACAATTCTTTTTTTCTTTTTTTTTTTCCCTGTTTTTTTTTTTTTGCAAACTACTTAGCTTTCTAATGTCTCACTTTTCTAGCATTAGAATWAGCATGTTAAAGAAAAAAAGGTTACTTTATGGAAGTATTGCATGTGAATTCAAGTTCTTTTTGTTTTAATGGACCTGCTTCAATGCTGATGGTTTCTGTGGTGCAGTCCAATTCTGTGTTCTCTGCTTTGCCTCCTGCTTTTTAAGACCTCTGATCTTCACAGAGTTAAGGATTTAAACCCTTAAATAAGTTCTTTATCTCACTCATGTTTGTAGTATAGATGTGCATAGGATTATTTATATGTGTGTGGCAGCATATATGATATGACAGAAGGCATTTCTTTTTAAACATGTAGAGAAGGGTTGGGAAAGATTTTGTAATATTGAAGAGTGGAGAAATATATATATATTTTTTATATATATATAATTTAATTTATGGGAGAAAAAAGATAAATTCTGGTTACACATTACACCCAGACTGTGGGACATTCAAAATCAGGATTACATTTTGAAGGAAAATTACTTTGTGAGTCTCTGTCTGTATCCTGTTAGAGAGACTYGACTATGAGCAGGGTAAATTCAGAAAGTTCTGCTGTCGTGTCTTTAAAATAGAATTTAATCAAGTTGCAATTTGTTTCTCTATTGAATCACTGCTGCATGGTATGCATATATCTGTATGGTTTGTTATTATGAGGCCATATCCTGACAACCTATTGCAAAATTGTTTTAATTTATTATTAATATTTTTGTTTTTCTCATTCCTCCTGGTTTTGGAGCCTTTATAATTAGATATAATTAAAACCATAGGTTTTAAACTCCAGTCTAACATTTAAACTCATATTTATGTTGCAACCCCCTGGAGTTTTATTGTCATTCCAACTGTACTTTGAAAAAAAAAATTTTTTTTTGCATCTGTTCAAATGCTATGTCTACAGTTTCCACTTCTTAATCATCTGTTTTTCACAATAAAATGGCATTTATTTTGCAGGATAAGAAATGCTAGGGTTTTACAGAGGAGCTGTTTCACCCTTAACAAGGGGCTTTTTGCCCTCTACACTTTTCAGAACAGATTTTTCTTTTTTTGAACTTGTCTGTCTTTCTCTGCTCCTCCATGCAACAGTCTGAAAGTGCTAAATGCCGAAGAACTGATTTTTAAAAACGTTGTTGGCTGGCATTATTTAAAACCATATTTTCCCTTTGGTTCGTACATTCTGGTCCTCGCAATGTCCTTGTTTTGCTGAAATTAACATTTTTCCCCCCACAGTCGTGGGTATGTGATGGTGTTTTTCTCTCTTCTTTAATTGTGATTCCTTTATTTTATTTTTTTTTATTTTTAATTAGTATAAGGTTGATTGTTAAAATTAAGTGGCAGAAGGCTTCTTTCCGAGTTATTCAGAGATCTTTTGCTCTAGAAATATATTTTGCTATTCTGATTTGCCTTTTCTCCTTCTTTTTTTTTTTTCCATTGCAAACTACTCTGGGAAGAGCTTCTTTTAACAAAAAGAAGAGAAGAAAAAAAAAAAGAAAAAAGAAAAAAAGAAAAGCTACGCTTGACTGATAATGCATTGCTTTGGATGGTGAAACATTATGAAAGTTTAATTTTTAATTAAATCTGAAATACCAATTATAACTGAAAGAGATTTTAACCTGTTTCTTTTCAGACTGCCTGAAGTTACATTGTAGATGCTGAAATCACTGCACCTTAAAAACAAAAAGATTAAGCTGCGCTGCATTCCTGTAAGTAAAAGCTTTTCCAGTACCTTTTGTCAGTATTTTTCCTCAATATGCATCCAAAGCGTTAGCACAGTAACTGTTCTTGGATAAAGCTCAGAGCCCCCTTGAATAGGATTTAGAAGTTGAAATGATGTTTTATTTAAAAATTAAAGCTTAAATCTTGCAGATCTTTAATTTCAGCCTCCCAAATAAATCATCCTTCTTTGCTTTGTTCAGAATATTATTAGGAATTGTGCGTGTGTGACTGTTGACATGCAGTTCCTGTCACTCTGTCAGCGAGGATACGTGCGCTTCGGTGTAGAGATAATGGCAAGGAGCAGGAGATTCCTTGTAGCATAAAAGATAGTTTATTCTCTTTGGTGATGTCATAACAAATTTTTGTCCTTTATTCAAGAGGGAAAAAAAGACAAAACCAGCACAACTTTGTGATGACATCATGGAAGGCTGCTTTAGAACATAGATGAAGGCAGAAAAACCTAATTGATCTCTCCTGTGATACAACAAAACACTCAAAATAACATGTCTTGGGTCTTTCAGCAAGAGAAGAGTCTCTTTCTAAGAGCATTGTTATTTCATAAATGCCTGTCAGATTGTGCATCGGGCTGATCTGCCCTCATTTAGAATCTGTTTATTGAATATATTTGGGGAAATAATTAATATTTGGGACTGCAGTGGCAGAACAATAAGCAAGCCGAGAGGATGAGAAAATGCAGTAGATTGAGATCGTCTGAATTTAATCAAGTCATTTGCAAATAAAAATCCAGGAGCTCAGAGGTGGTGGGCAAAAACCCACTGTAGTCGCACACTATATGGTTGGGAAAGTGCATTTGTTTGCTCATTTAAGTTCCAGACGTGGGCTGCAGTGAAACGCAGAACCTTCTTCCAGAGGGCTGCTTGGGCACCTCAGCGATTTACCTGTTACAGCGTGTTCTGCCTTCCTTTTCCCTCCTGCTCTCCTGTGCTCCCCGCGATAGAAACCGTACGTTAGTGACTTGTTTTAAGGTGGCTGAAGGGCGCAGTGCCGAGGGGGCAGCTCCCGCCTTGCCCGCGCAGCGGGGAGCGCCAAGCGCGACTCGGGCGGGCAGGCTGTGCCATGCTGGCTCGGCTCCGCTCGGTTTGTGCACTACTGGCAAGGGCCGGGCCATTGTGTCGCTTCAATATTGTGCATTAGCGGCAGGCTGTGGCCACTGAGTTGTATTTAACGTTTTGTGCTCATCGTTCTGGAATTTCTACCACCAGCAGCTTCCCTGGCCAGCGGAGGGGGACTTTGCAATTGCACCGGTGACCCAAGCTAAAAACTCTCGTGGATTTGATGGCTCTGCAGGAAATTAAAGGGAGCTGTGGCAGTGGAGAGGAGGTGGGGGGGCACTTCAGCATCTCATCATCAATTCAGTTACAATTTTTTGTAATTTTTGTATGTACAACCAGGAGAATTTTTGTTGGAAAGGAGTAGCAATTCTCTTTCCAAAATGCAACAGCAGAGCGAGGAGTGAATTAAGGCATGTTCTTTGGATCCTTAGGAACCAGATGGTCATTAAGTCCTGCATGGATAGCACTGAGGCAAAATACCAGGTAGTAATATATGGACCTAATGAATGGTGCTGGCTGGAATGGCCTTTTTCAGTTGGTGGAGATGAGAGAGAATAAATATGCAAGTGTGTAACTCACGTCTGGAAACAAAACTCCATCATCCTTTTTAACTAGGGGTCTTGAGGAAGTCGAGGCAGAAGTGGAGAGCGGCTTGCTCAAGATCACAGAGGAAATCAGAAGTCAAGCTGGGGGCGGGATGCAGGTCCATGATTCCAAGCCTCTTCCGTTCAGCCCATTTTTGTCTTTTTTTCAGTTCAGTAATTTAGTATGTGCTATAAAGTAGGGGTCCAAATACTTTTCTAATTATTAGCTGCCGGTGTGATTTGTTTTTCCAAAACTACCCTTCCTGTAAACTCCTAACTACTGCTAAACTTGCTAACTTCAGCCTGCAGCCTGTCTCCAGCATATAGAGGAGCTAGGTGCAGGAACCTTTCGGTACGCACATGTACACTGTAACATAAAACTGATTATTGCTGTASCTCTTGGGTGTACATCTCGAGTTGTTTGGCATGATAACAGTGGGCATAACCCTCACTATGGAGGAAAAGGTGTCTTACGGATTTCCCGTTGGTTCTTTTGTACGTTCACTGTAGCCAGGTGACTAATACTTAGCCCTGCAAAAACCTCTGCTTTTAGTTATGGTGCCCYTGGCCAAGAGCAATGAGGAACGGTCAGCATTTTTATTACAAAGAGAAAATTTCAAGGTTTCAGTCTCGAATGTAGCCCTGTGATCTGATTAGTAACCAAGAGATCCTGTGTTCTAATCTTCATGGATTCTGGCTCTTTTAGTGGCATTGGACAAGTCATTTAGCCTCTCAGCGCTTTATTCAGGAGATGTTTTTTTTAAAAAAAATCTGGTTAATGCTGAGACAGCKCTGTGAACATTACTGAGTTTGTATTAGCAAAGCTCTTAGAGGAGAAATACTAACTATTGTTATTATTAATAAGTATATTGTGTAGGCAAAACACAAGGGATGGAGAAGCAGCCACTCATGGGGGTGATCTTTCAAAACTCACTTGTGCCTTTGTTTCATTTCATCACTCARAGGTATCAAGGCCAACTCTAATTTACAGAAGGATTTCTCCTGTCACTCTCCCCACTGTTAAGYGTTTTATTGTTCGTATTCTCTCTCCATCTGTTTCTTTGCTGCTTTCCTCCCAAACTTTGTTCCCCTTTTCCGTGTTAAACAGCAGAGACATCTGCGTAGCCTCCAAATTGTGGAGAGCAAATCCACTTTGTCTACTGATCCTTTGCTGATGAGGTACGAAACGGACAGAAGACAGTTTGAATTTTCCTAAGTTCAACTGAGCTTGGAGGCAGAAGGGAAGGAGCGGGCAGAGCCCAAGCCGATGTGACACGGCAAGCGGGCATCGCGGCGCGCGAGCCGCATGTGCAGCGTCAGCATGTCAGGGCTAAGGAGGGCTTCTTCCATCACAGCAGTGCTTGCAAATGAAGGAAGAATTTCGAAGCAGCAGGCAAGGCCCCGTGCTGCGTCCTTTTCAGCCCCGGAATCCTCATRGCTCCCCATGGATGTGGGCTTTGTACATCCGTCCTGTAATGTGCTCTTTCAAATTGAACTCTGTGTTTACGTCGGGCCTTGTTTAGCCCTGTCAGTTGCCAGTATCTATTCCCCTGACTAAATCTAAATGCTCCATAGCTTGATAAGGCCTTTTTTGATGCAAGTCTACTGGCTTACGGAAGCTGTGCTGGAGAAGACATACGCAAGTATGAAATGAGACTGCTTGCAAGCATGCTTGCTTTGAACAAAGATCAATGTCTTGGAGCAAACTGTCATTGAGGAATTGTGCTAGCACTGACAGAATTAATTTTGCCTTTTCTCCCTCCTATTGCAAGGCATTAATTCTGAAACTCATGGGGATAAATTCTGCCCTGATTTCTACCTGTGGAACCCCAGTGGAAATGTGGAGAGGTCATAGATGTTTGTCAAGGCGGTTATTATCCCAGTGTTGAGAARGCAGAAACTAGTTGATTGCTGTGTGGCCCAGGGGCACGAGGATACTTAGGAGCCCTACATGGCATCGTGCGCTTCTGAAAGCGTTGCTTTAGTTGTATGCATTGAGGAGAGCATGACAAAGTATTCTGGTGAGTGCAAAGTTTTATAATCAAGAGCACAGTGATTAATTGTTCTTCATATCCACTGGGAGAAAGACCTGAAGAAATCAGTTCAGCGAGTGGCAAAAATTAAAGTTACATATTAAGAAATATGTTCTAACTATACAGGTGGTAAACCGCAGGGACACGCGGTGTGCAGATACTGTCGAGTCTTCATCGGGGGGGACTTCTTCTTTTTAAAGAACAGGTTAGAAAATGGTCTCTGTGGTGTGCTAGAACTCGCCAAAAGGCAAAGACTGGGCTTAAATGAATTCTGTTGTTCCCTTGCATTTCTCTGATTCAGCATCCTTTAAAAACACTGTTTGGGAATGCTGGTATGTGGCTCATACATTCCTGATTAATAATGTTAATGTTCCCAAAAGATCCTCAGGGCTCTCATTTTTCCATCCTCTCATAACTGGAACCATACCGTCTCTTCGAAGGCTTCAGTGGGCTGTCAGCGTTTCACTTTGACCCTTCATTGTGTTAGAGAAAGACAGGGAAAGGATTCCTAGAAACGCCCAGGATCTTCAGTTGCTGCCAGTCTACATGGTTTCTTTCCACTCAGTGCACCAATGCTGATTTGCTGTCCTTACCAGTTTTAAAAATGTGGATGAATGGAGATCTTCTAGGAGTTGCCTGATATAAGGCCCTGGGGCACCAGGTCATGGAGCTAGTTGCAAGGTGCAAGTGTGGGTGATGATCAGATGAAGATATGATGGGGATAGGGTAAATAATTCTACAAAAAGTAAATTTTTCAGAAGATTACGAACTTGCTAATCATCTTTTTGTTGTCTGAGTTTCCATGTAAACATCCCTGAAAGAGACTTCTGCTTTATGAAACTATGCGTACCTCAAAATACAATTATAATCAATCCCATTCACAACTAAGCACAAAAACAGTTGGGGATGAGAGCTTTTTTGTTTGTTTGTTTGTRTTTTTACAAATGTTTAAGTTTTTTGGTTTTTTTCCTCCCAGGTCTATATGGTAAGGAAGTCAGATGTATACCAAAGGGTAGAAACCTGGTTTTATCATAGCTTGCAGCACTGTTTTTTTACAGAATATTGGCCACAGTAGATGAAGATAGGAAAATGATGCATGATTGTTCACTCTAGTATGTATAGGACTATGGGCTGAGACTCACTCATTAAGAGTTAYAGGAACATAAGCATTGATTCTTTGACAAGTGCTGCTGTGGTCAGTGTAAAACATTTAAGTATTTTGGCACCTGAACATGTTATGGTGAAAGCATAGAGCCTTTTGCTCGATATATTGAAGTAGTCGTCAATGTAACTTCAA